GGTTCTTACCTTTGTTTATATATATATATATATATATGTAAAATGAAACTTCTTACCTTTATTTGCATATATATAAAATATATAAAATGAAACTTCTTGCCTTTATATATATAAAATTAGAAGGATTGTACAAATTTTATTATCCTTTTTATTTTATTAAATTATTTGAAAACTTTATTTTGTTAATAATAAAAGTCGAAATTTGTCCGGTTCATTATAAGAAAAAGCATCGAATAACATATTTGATATTTCTGCCAGATTTCTAATTATGACCAGGAATGATTGTGTTTATAATTAAAGGTAAGATAATTATCTTACCCTTCATAACATTCATATATTTTGTTTAATTAGAAAGTATTGCTTTATATTAACAATTATAAAAAGAAGCAAAACATTAATAAGAGATTAAAAAATCGATTAAATTATGCATGTATACATATATTATTGTTATGCGTATAATTATGCATATATATATGCATATTAATATATCATTTCTTTTTATTCCTTGAGAGGTGAATGAATTGTTCTCGGTGATAGGTGTGATACGGGGTCAATCAGTGATAAATGATATGCGAGCTATTGTAAAAATATGATTTAATGCTTATTATTATCATTATTTTTGAGAAATTTATAAGTAAGAAATTTTATGAAATTCAAAATTGCGATTACTGATTAAAAGAAGGATGGAATAATTAGAGCATTAATTTGCTATATATTAGCTGTAAACAACGAAAAAGCTCCAAGAATAACACAATGAGAAAAATACACAATGATAATTTATCTTTTCTTTTTTTTCTTCAATACTAATTTTGAAATCATCAGATCAGGATATTGAAGAAATTGAAATCATCATATCATGATACATAAAGAAATTGAGAAATTGAAATCATTATATCATTGTATCTTGATACCAAAGAAATTGAGAAATTAAAATCATCATATCAGGACATTAAAGAAATTGAGAAAATGAAATCATCATATCATAGCACTAAAGAAATTGAGAAATTGAAATCATTATATCATTGTATCTTGATACCAAAGAAATTGAGAAATTAAAATCATATATCATGACACTAAAGAAATTGAGAAATTGAAATCATTATATCATTGTATCTTGATACCAAAGAAATTGAGAAATTGAAATCATCATATCATAGCACTAAAGAAATTGAGAAATTGAAATCATTATATCATTGTATCATGATACCAAAGAAATTAAGAAGCTAAAATCATTCATATTCGGAACACACTAAAAGAAATTGAGAATTCAAAATTAAGAGCTGACAGCTAAATAGACATGCAATTCAAAAACATTTTGAATGATATAAAATCATTCAAAGATCTCAGCTATTTTAAAAAGTTTTCTTCATATGTCAAAATGTTGCACAAATAAAAAGAACTGTGAAAAATCGAAAATCAATTTTAGCTAACAAAAAGAAGCAAAAAACAAATGAAGCATAGAAGAGATTAGTTTTGGTTAGCAATGATTAGTTTTGGTTAACAATGATAATAATGATTAGTTTTGGTTAACAATGCTATGATAAATATAATAATAAAGATTAGTTAATAATAAAGTTAATGACAATAAAGTTAACATAATAATTGAGATTAGTTTTGGCTAACAATGATATGATAAACATAATAATAAAGAATAGTTAATAATAAAGTTAACATAATAAAAATTAGTTTTGATTAACAATGATATGATAAAGTATTGTTTTAAAAAAAAGAATGATAACAATAGCATTTAGTATCTTTTATCATAAATGAACACTGCTCTGTATCAAAAATGGAAAAAAATTTTAGAGATTAAGTTGAACAAATTTTAGATAGAACTATTAAAATTAAAGCATTCAGATACCTCATATAATTTAATGGATTTGTTTTTTAAAATACTTTTCCACCTTAACTTTTATGAGATTCGAATGTATGCAAATGCAATCTCTACGTCAAATTCAACGTCCAACATTATTCATCATTATCAACCATTAATGAATATTTGAATGCATGCAAATGCAATCTCTACGTCAAATTCAACGTCCAACATTATTCATCATTATCAACCATTAATGAATAACCATTCTTTACTTAGAGTTATAAAGTTAAAGAGTTAAAAATAAAACATATGACATAAGCATGAAAATACAACAAGTATCTTAAATTTTACGATAATACTTTTTAAGATTTATTAGAGTAATTAAAGCATTTCATTAAATTACCTTGGAAGTTCTGTTCACTCTTGAAATACATTAACAGTGAAGTTTAACAGGTGAAAACATCAGACGTAATGGTGTAATTATTTGAATCATTCATTTATATTTTATGTGTCAAGAGCATATGTCATAATTATATTCATATATTAGCAGGAATCATTAAATGAATGCTTCAACAATTTTATAGTTTTTATAAATTGAAAACAATCAAAAATAAGCGAATCATAAACTTAGCTAATCATAAATAACAAAATAATATTGATAGAATGAAACGAATAATAAATGATAATCTGAAATCATTGCAATTCATTAAGCATACTATTGTTTTATTAGCATAAATCAATGAGAATAAATTAAAGTTTTGATCAAATCCTCTTTGAAATTCCTAAAACAATTGTCAAAATTCTATAATGTTGGATAATTAATTATTAATTTATTATATTTCGATTTTGATGCAAGCACGTATATAAATTTATAAAGCTTTTCAATGGTTAAAAGTTAACGAATCAAACTTCTGAAGGTAATTTAAATTCTATTTTTTTAGCTTTTGAAGTTTAATATTTGAAGAAATACCTATGATTCACTTTTTTTTCCACTTTCCATTATTGCTAAAATTACCACCTGTAATTTTTAATTTTTTAATAATTGCTATGTATATTCAAAATGATAAATTTCAAAATCATCAATGGATGTTAAAATGCTGATAAAATGGTGATAATGTTCAATCAATGGATCGTTCTGATAAGATGATGATAACGTTCAATCAATAGATCAATCTGATAAAATGTTATAATATTCAATCAATGGATCAAAAAATTAAAATATTATCAAATTTCAAAATTAAAATATTATCTAATTTCAACCATAAAAAAAACGAAAACGAAAACTTTTGCATTTCTGATACATACTATTTGAATATTTGCATTTATTAATGAAAATTATAACCAATAAAAAATGTGATTTAAAAATAATTCATTTAAAATTAATTGCGCTTTATTTGATCTTATTTACAGTAATGATCAAATGAATATTATTTATTTATTTATTAAATGAAAGAAAGGAAAAATGGTTGTCATAAAAATTATGCATACTAAATATTGTCGAAATTTCTTTTACAGTTTCATTTCTTTCTCCCTCTCTCTCTCCCACTCTCTCTCTCTCCTTTTTTTCGTATTTTTAATTACTAAATTATATGAATTTCGTTAGCCATAACTTCGTTAGTATTAGAATTTCGTTAGTAAGCCATAACTAAGCTAATTGGATGTAAATCTCATAATTATTTTCAAATGTGTTCACTTAATTTGAAATGATATATTGTGGGAAAAAGAGTGAAAGAAGAAAATATTTGTTGCTGAAGAGTGAATATGTTGAAAAATTGAAATTTAACATTTCAGTGATAGAATTGATTGCAATTTTGCAGCTTTTAAAATAAACTGAAATTAACATTTTCTATTCCTAATGAATAAAACAAAAAAATTTTTTAAACAAAGGAAGATAATGAGGGAAATAAAGAATTGATATTAATTTTAAGCTTTTGTTTTGAAAGTTTTACAAATTGATGAAATTTTCAACTAAAATATAATAATTTCGTTTTATGTAAGTGTCGTAACAAAAATGAAAGAAATTAATATTTAATAGATTTAGTTTTAATTAAAGTGAATGAAAAGATTTATAAAATTTTCGTTTAAAATCTTATTTCATTTTATAAATTTAAATCATTCAATAATTTTATTAGGAAAAATTTTTAGAGTTTCAATAATAGAATTAATAATAGAATTAATTTTAGAGTTGCAATAATAGAAATAAGAATTAAGCTAGTTAAATCTGACAAATAACACATTTTCACTAATAGAAGTAACAAATGCAAAATGTTTTCAACGTGTTAACAGATTTTCTTCCCCGTAACTTTTCACTTGGGATCGTGCATTTCATAGACGTATTTTCATTTGCAAATGCGACCGTTTTTTAGCTCTTCTGATTTTATTTTGCTTGAGCCACATTTTGGATGTTGCTGTGTTAGGTCGTGTTTGAGGTAGAAGGTGGGTTTGCAATTAATTGGTAATTTATTGTTTGCGTTTTTTTACAATCTTTTCAGCTTGTTATCAGATACAAGTTATTTTTTGCCGGTAGCTTAAATGATATTTTAATTAACACTTCAGGAAACATTCTGTTGATTAGTAGCTTTTAACTATATGGATAATTGCTGCGGAACAGATAGTACAGATGATAGGATATTCAATGAATTATCTGCCGATAATGAAGATGTTGCACCGATGGAGGTGGAATCATTGTGCGTTAATTGTCAACGAAATGTAAGTAATTAAACTTAAAGTTTATCATTCAAATTTTATAAATCTGTTGGGAATCTATTTTTTTGATCTGTCATTTTGAAGGAGACAAACTTATTCTTTCAGTTGCCAAAAAAAACTTAATCTTATACGTTCCACGTGTAGCATAACAATTTCTTCACTTTTTTCGAGTTAAATAAACATTTTACTTATCTTTTTAAGTAGCATGAAATTTTTTGTTGACTAGAACTGATTAGGCATAAGATGCGGAGCTTTCTCATTATTATTATTGCCTAAGTACTATGTCCAACTATGTAATCTCCAGTAAAGTGAATTAATATGAATCATGTCTAGCCTTCATAGACTGCTTATTGTTTAAAGTTGAAAAATTTTCATTGCTTATAATTTATAATTAATGATGGTTATTATTTATTTACAGGGTACCACCCGAATACTTTGCACAAGGATTCCTTTTTATCGGCAAATTATTGTAATGTCATTTAGTTGTGGACATTGTGGCTATAGCAACAACGAGTTACAGAGTGGTGAAGCAGCACAAGTAAATTTTATTTTTTCTGGGAAACCTCTAATTAAATGAAGATTAAATGGAAATTTGAACTCGGTTTTTGTAATACTGTCGATGTTACAAAAAGCGTACAGATCACATTAGATGACTTGCCGATTGATTTTGATAATTTGTATAGAATAAATTTGTAACAAATATTTAACTTGCTGCAATTCTTTCATATGTAGCAGAGTATGTTCAATGTTATAGGAGCATGGGATCGAAATTGTTTTACATGTACAAAATTTATCGGATTGGAACCGGCAAGTTGTAAAATCAGAATATGCTGAAGTGGAAATTAAAGAACTGGAACTTATAATTCCTCCTAAGTCACAATCTGGTGGTTCGTTTTTAGTAAACATTCTAAATAAACAAATGTTATTCTCCGATATCACCTTTCTCAGTTCTTTAGCGTACAATTGACAATTTTAGTCAAAACTAAATACGGATCGTTTTATTACAGAAATTACGACCGTGGAAGGAATTTTACAACGTGTGATTACCGCTCTCAGTCAAGATCAAAATCGAAGGCGCCAGTGTTGTCCTGAAAGTGGTAGAAAAATTGATGAATTTATAAGACGAGTGGAAAAATTAATTAATCTGCAAGAAAAATTCACTCTGGTTTGTTTAATTTTCAGCTCTACTTTTTATTTCCTTTAATTAATTTCGTTTTGCAGTAGAGAGAAAAAATGATAGAAGAAATAGATAGATTAAGAATGAATTGATAAAAGGAAATATAATAAGAAATAAAACACTCTGTCATCATAATACATTTAATGGATTAAATAAGCCTTAATAATGTGAATTCGTTTCAGAGGATAAGAGATGTGTCCGGTAATAGTTTTGTTCAAAATCCCACTCCATTCCATGTGGATCCACAATGCATCGTAACGCATTTTAGCCGAAGTCTTTCTGATAAAAAATTGCTCGGATTTGTGGCTGACGATGTGGACGAAGTGATTTATTCCTTAATGTTTTTATTTTCTAAATCTTTGCTTTATTTCCTCAATTTTCTTAAAGTAGGCTATTCATTGCATTTTAGGAAGATTCTGCTTCATTCCATTCATATGATGATGCAAAAAACGAAGTGTTGAGGTTTGCAACTGATTGTCCTAATTGTGGCGCTCTAACGCAGACATGTATGAAACCAACAGGTATGTTACCAAAATTATATATTTACATGTTTCATTTTGTTTGCTTGTTTTTTGTTTTAAGACAATGATTTTGCAAATGTTAATGATGATTAATGTAATTTTAATATTAAAATTTGCAGATATCCCGTATTTTACAACAGTCATTTTGATGTGTACGGCTTGCGATGCTTGTGGATGGAAATCGAATGAAGTCAAAAGTGGTGCTGCCATACGAGAACATGGCTGCAGGTTAACTGTTTTGATAGAAAAAGTTAGTTTTGACTCCTATGTTTTTGAAATGAGGAAAAAATACGTCTGAAAATTCTTCATATGAAATTCTGTCTCAGAGTCGATTGGTATTATGAGTAAATGCAGTATGGTATAAAGCCTAAGAAACTTGAAAAATTGGGTGTTAAACGAACTTCTAGTCTGAGTGTTACTCCTAAAACAGTTTTATTACAGGACATTGATCTTGCGCGAGATGTCTTGAAATCAGACACATGTAGTATGTCAATTCCTGAACTTGATTTGGAAGTGGGTTCTGGTGCCATATCAGGAAGATTTACAACTGTCGAAGGTTTACTTGTGGCTACAAGGGATCAACTCAAGGTTCGTACATTTTATTAATTGACCTTTTGAAAATATAATGTTATCCATTCTTGTTTAGTGAAATTGTATTCTTTTTGACTTACTTTATTGTATTTACCTTATTCATCCATTTTTTCAGGAACAAGGAGAGTTTTTCTTAGTAGGCGATAGTAAGAGTGAAACAGAAAATGAACAGATGAAAAAATTTCTGGATAACTTTGAACAGATATTACGGTTGCGGAAGAAAGTTCGTTTAGTTTTAGACGATCCAGCTGGTAATAGCTATATTCAGGTGAGGTTTGAAAACATCTGTTGATGTCTTTTCTTCATCCAAATAAGTGGCGTTCTACTTTTTTTTTAATGTAATTAGGACTGATAGCATCGCTATCTTGGTATTCTTGGTACATTTTTTTTCGCGTGAAAGCTGCAAGTTAATACTGAATTGTGACTAAATAAGTAAACGAGAAGTTTCATTTAGTTAAGATATCTTGAAAATGAAAGTTCAGATACCTTATATCAGAAATGTTGCGTTTTTTGATAAAAAATATTGGACAGTCATAGTTCCATAACTTAGTTTAGAATTTCAGAGTCTAAATGCCCCAGCGGATGACAGCCGCTTAAAAAAGGAATTTTATGAGCGTACCAATGAACAGAATGATGAACTTGGCTTAAACGATATGAAAACAGAAAACTATTCGGAATTAGAAACTATTAATGAATGTGAATGATTTGAGTTTAAACGGTAACATCAGCTCGGAACACTTCTGTGTCTTCTATTGCTTATACGAAATGTATAATGGAGGGATGGAGAATAGTGAAATTAAAAAAAACCTATATTTGATGTTAGAGATGGATTTGGTATGACTTTAATAATATTCATATTTTTATCAGGATATAAGCTTGAAATCTAGATGCATCTTTTATTCATTCAATAGGAGCAAGCTGCAGTAAGTGCGTCAAAAGTTTTGGGATAACTTTAGAAGATTTATATTTTTCAATAAAAATAATGGTATATTATTTAATAACTTTACTAGTGATCTTTTCTTATATGCCTCGATTTGTACGGTGTTTTTTTTTGAATTGTTTTATACCTCATTGTTTTTTAATTCGCTGAAATTGGTTGGTGAGAGTGTTTTGTCCAGCGTTGTGTATTGCCTTAATTCTTCTCATATTGTTTGAGCAGAAATCAGTAAAAATAGAGCTATGTGGAAGTAATCATCACTTGAAGAGAAAGCTTCGAAAGAAAATACCAATTTATTTTAGTTATTTCCTATCAATATGATATTGCTTTGTTGTAATTTAAAAATGGGACAGAAATTTTAAAATGAGGAAAGATTTTAACTTCTTTCAGTTTCAGTTATTTTTTCCATTATTGTTACATCGAAAAAGCGAAAACAAGCTCTTTTTTTTCTGTGGATGCTTATTCAATTCAAAAAGGAAGGGTATGAAGCAAAAAATGGTACCCGAATGTATTTTGTTTAGAATCGTTTAATTTCTCTTATGAGTTATTGTTCTAAAGTATGTGTTTATTAATTTCCAATGAATTCACCGGATTTGTAAGATAGGTGATTTGCTTTTTAATGTACAGCTATGATAACGAAAACCGATTTCATTTCGATATTCGCTGTTTAATTGAATGGTGGTTTGTATTTCTGGAACAGGTTCACTTCTATATTCACTGTTTAATTAAATCCAGAAAATGAAATGCTTCCAAAATTGTAAAGTTATGTCCAGAAATTTTGCTACATATAAATATATAAACAAATAAATATATGTATATGAAAGTATGGTAGTTGGCCTTAGGGAAAGATGTTCGATTATGAAAGGATTATTTTCATTTTTCATCCACAAAATTTTAATACTGATGATGGGACAAGTTAATTCCTAGTTTCATAGCAACAATTCACTAATGCGTGGCAATTTTATCGATTTCTGAGTTTGATATGTGTCATTCAATGTCTTCGGAAGTTCTCATGTTTGAATTTGAAATCAGTGGAATAATTCTCTCTATTCTTAACCGTTGCTCTATTCCCTACAGATGGCAATGAATCATTTTAAGATGTAAGATTGAAAAATTAAAGAAAGATGATTGGATGATTTTACATAACCGATAAAAGTAGTAAACTGCTGAGCATCTTAGTATTCATTCAATAAACTAACCATTGATTAATTAATCATTAAATTTAATTTATTATGATATTGATGAGCTGTTCATGAATTTCATGAAACTACTATTATCTTACATTGTTGTGTTATGAACAATCTCAAATTGGATTCTTCTCATTAGCACCTGTCGTTTCATTAAAACTAACCAAGCATTAATTGAAATATAATATATCTTTATACTGGTGTATGTAATAACATATTAATACTCAAATTAAAAATGTTGATATATATATATATCATTAAATTTTAGCTCATCAATTTCTCAATTATATTACCTCTGATAATATTGTAATTAGTATTCTCTAATTATAAAAAATTCATGCATTTTGGTCAATTTAATTCTTCCATAAAAATACATACTTCTAAACCTGAAAATATTATCTAACGACTACATGATTTATTATCGTTATCCTCCTCTTTCGTAATAATAATAATCTCTCACAATCATCACTCCATATCTGTTCTCCCATTCTCTTGCTGCTGTCTTCAAATTATTGCCATCAATTAACAATGCTACTATTATTATTATTATTATTATTATTATTATTATTATTATTATTATTTTGTTATTATTATTTATCATTTATCGTCAATCATTAATTATTTATTATTATTAGTCATTATTTACTAATTATTACTATCATCATTATTATTATCATTTATAATTATTTGTTACTATTATGATTATTATTATAATAATTATTATTATTATTTATTATTATTTATTATTATTCCGATGATATCGTCAATTTTCAATCGATACATTTAAACAATCCTCCGTTTTTTTTTCATTATATTTTTGCTTTAAAATATTAAATTGATTAATCAACTTATTGATTGTTATGTAACTGAGGTTTTTTTAGAATTTATTTTTAAAAAATGATTTATTACCTTATTTGTTGATATTAATGTGAAATTTGGTGGAAGAAATCGTCACTAACGGGAAGAAATTATGAGAAGGAATTGATTTTCGATGATTATTGAAAAAGGCGTAGGAGATAGAAGGATGGTAAAATGCCTATCTTTAATTACTTTGGTCCTAAAAACAATTCTGTTAGCTACTCGACTTAACGAAATCCTCTCTTATTCTCTTCCTACCACCCTCATATTTTCGAAATTAATTTGTATGAAAATATGATTAATGAAAATAGAAATGCAATGGGAAATATTAGTAACCAAAATATATTTCGATCAATTTTTCATCAATCATATCTAATAATTAAATTAACAATTTTTGTTTTTTATTTTTCTTAAAAATAAATGAAATAATTTAATGCATTTTAATTTTTATATATAATTTAAAAATCAACTTGATATCATTGAAAAAAGCAAAAATAGAGAAGAAGAAAAAGAAATGATAAAATACTACTGATATTTCACATTTAAATGATTGTAAAATTTTCCACAATTTCCTACGAAAATTATCCATCAAAATTTTTCAGAACACCTCTAGTTAATATATTTTCTTTTCAATTTTTATCAAATCAAATTGATCTCTTTTTTATCAAATCAATCATTTAAATATATTGACAATAATATATTCATTTAAATATATCAAAATGATAAATTGATCTTTTGTTTTATCAAATCAACAAATTGATCTTTTGTTTTATCAAATCAACAAATTGATCTTTTGTTTTAGCAGATCAACAAATTGATCGTTTTTTTAATCAAATCAACAAATTATAAAATTTATCATTTTCAAATTATCATTTATTGTCGTATTTATAAAACTCTAGATCATATAAAGTATTTTGTCTGTATCAGAATGATAATTTTAATTTAATTTCAAAAATTTCAAATTTCATAAAATTTTTTATCAAATTAACAAATTCCAAAATTCATCATTTTTTTGTCTTATCTTTTTTCTAAATCTAAATGATGATTTTAAAATAATATTAAAATTAAATAATAAATGATGATTAAATGATACATTTGTTAGTATTTATTTTATATTTTATAATTATAAATATTCTAATTTCTTTTTTTTTTTCATTTCTAAATTATATCATTATTTTTTATTTTCAATCTCTAAAATATATTTACAATCTGTCAATATATATATCACTGAGTAGTGAAAATAGAGAGGAAGAGAAAAACCTAAGGAAGAAAATTGATAAGATATTAGTCTGTTATTTAATTATGATTAAATTACTTAATTAAATATATCAGTAATTAAATTTCATTTATTTTATTTATTTCACAAGTTAATGCAAACAAATATTTCCATTCTTGATTTTCATTTTTATTTTTCTAAAAAGAATATTGAATTCATAAAAAGAAAGAAAAAAATTAGTATTTTTATTCAGAATATTGATTGATTGATTGGTTGTAATTTTTACACAGGATATTGATTGATTGATCGATTGATTGATTGTAATTTAAAATTAATTGTAATTTTTACGCAATCTTCATATTTGAAATTTAATATATTTCCAAAAAAATTTTTATTTATTTTGATAATATTGTTTTTTCATCAAAATCAATAAATTAAACAAAATTCATCATTTTTAAAATTACATCATCATCATCATCATCATCATCATCATCATCATCATCATCATCATCATCATCATCATCATCATCATCATCATCATCATCATCATCATCATCATCATCATCATCATCATCATCATCATCATCA